TGATACTGAAAGGGGAATGTTATTGCTTTTTGTGGGGTGAGGTAGGTTCAATTCACCCTTTAGATTACACTCCCAATAAATAAAGCTAAGGTTGACCTAAAGAATATATGTAAACATTATAGGAACTATATCATATAAGATTGAATCATTGTACTCTATATGGATATGGTTGTGGATGCGATTGCATTGAAAGATTGTATTGTTCAATTGTAGAGATTTAAACAATGTTCTTGCAATAATCCTAATTAATGATAAGTTTCAAACTTTTATTTCCACGACATGCTTCAGTTTGAAAAATTAGATAATATTTCCAACATTCCTTCACTTAACTGTTTGGTTGGCTCAGCCACAATCAAGAAAGACTTGTCAATTTTACATTCCTGATAGGATGACTCCTCTTTCTTAAAATTCTACATGTTTAAAATTCTTCCCATCAAAAGTTTGTGAAGAGGATTGCAAGAATAAAAAGAGCAGAAAAGAAATTCATTGGAATTGTCTTGAACTGCTGAAAATCGTTGGTTGGGCCAAAACCATTCAAAAGAATCAAAACACAGCACCACCTTTCATGAACCATGCATGCATGGGGGTCACACACCAGTTTTCAATCACCAGATGATGTCAAGGTTCAAACAAAAGGATTGGCTTGCAATAGTGGTTGTAGAATGGTAGCAGTACACAGCTGCATGAAAGTCAGAGAACAGAGGAAGTAGCAACAAGAAAGAGTGCAACGACAACTGGCGTGTTTTCCAGTGAATTTGCACTTTGAGGCTTTGGGGGATTCTAGATCAAGAGTCTCTATGCTGGTAGGTAGTTGTGTCTATCACGACATAGTGCTTGTGGGTGATTGCAGCTGGCGGCTGAAGGGTTTGGAGTTTCAATTTTCCATTTTTTTCCCTGATGGATGGGGCTGTTTAGATATGATGTTTGGGGCATACAATTTTTTTAGTTGTGATATCAACAAATGTAGGACAAATTAGAGTACATTTACCTACCTAGAGAATGGAGGATAACAATTAAAACATCAAGCCTAAGATTTTTTAGGCATCACAACCTAAGAAATCTTAAACATCATATTTAATAGTTTGATTGCATCACACAAGAAGAAATTTGAGAAACTCTTCAGGTTTATACTGAATAACTGAAGTCTACTATCAAAATGTGAAATTACAAATATATTTATAATGCTTCCTAAGTAACCTTACTATGTAGGATAAAACTAAGAAATTATGAAACTAATATATACAAACACTACTAATGGAAAAACTAAATATTAATAAGAATAAAATCCTACTGCCACTGAAACTATGATAATAGACTTCTAAGATTATAATATTTTGTATTTAATATAATTATGATTTCTAATATATTTAGAAATCTAGAGCTGATCCATTCTGCATCAAGCTGCTTATAAGCAGCCAATAAGTAATTTCAAATACTCTAGATAACGGAAATCAGATCCTAGAATCTAGGAAGGCAATGGCAAACACCAAATATGCAATTTCTTAAAGTCAGGAAAATTATCTCAACAATCTCATCCTAATTAGAGTAACCACTCTAAATATGGGATGGTTTTCCCTAATGAGACTTTAGCCCAGGTCATCATAGGTCATAGGGGTAAGAAAATTCATCAGACAAACCTGTGCCTGGATTAGAGACTGAGAAACGCATCAAAACATATCACAAACCTGATAAAAAGCCAAAAGTCTCCCTGCTTCAATGTGTTCTTCTGCCAATTTGCGTCTTTGCTCAAGCTCCTCAATATAAGTTTCCATGTCTGCAAGTTGAATAATCTATTTCAAAAATGGCTTATGAACTAGATAATCTATTACAACATGATTATGCAGTCTCATAACACATGCATGCAAGAGACGTATATGG